ACTTGTGAATTTTATGTCCATATATATTTAACGTAAATGCTTTTCTACCACAGTTCTTATTCGGATTAACACATGAACAAAATGTAATTTCCTGGATCTTTAGCATAGTTTATTTGGGCTAACACTCTTGTTTGGGGTTTGAGGGTAGGTGAAGAAATAACTCGAGAAGCCAAAAAAGCACGAAAAGTAGGTGGCCTCACTGGTAGCAGTTCTGATGAGAGTGGAAGTGAATCTGATGCCTCTGATAATGAAGAAAGTGACTGTGAGAGCTCTAAAAACCTGAGTTCTGGTGATGATGATGATTTCAATCCATTTAGAGATGAGTCTAGTGAGGATGATGAAGATGGTAAGTTCATCAATGTATTAAATATAAACTAAATGATAGTTAATTCTGTGTCTTTGAAATGGGATATTGTATTAAAACCTTTTCTTTCTGTGCAGTACAAATCATCACATAGATTGTGATGTTTGCTTGGTGGATCGCTCTAAGCTTCCCTGTCTTCTGGAGATTTAGCTCATTTATGTGAGATGATGACATCAATTATGTGTAGTTTTCTTTAACCTCAAACCATGGAGTTTTATCTCATGTTGTATGGATGTCTGGGCCACTGTAGTTGGTTATGATTTATAAATAAGTTTTTGAAAAACAATACAAAAAAAAGTAAAGGATTTTTTTCTGTTGAAGATTCTGAACTTGTTTTAACAAATGGTTTGACACATCTTTGCTTAATTTTCAGATCCCTGGCTAATCAGAAAGGACCATAAGAAAAACAAAGATAAAAAAAAAAAGAAAAGTATAGATCCAGATTCTATTCAAAGTGCCTTATTAGCATCAGGTCTTGGATCAAAGCGACCTAGTTTTTCTTCCACAGCAGTTATTTCGCCTCCTCCTAACAGTGTACCAGGTATCCATGTGGAAGCTTGCTTTGTCTGTGAAATGTACTTTTAGACGAAACAAATATTTAAACTTTGTACTGATTTTTAACATGTTTCTTTCTCTAGCCAACAGTAACACCAACAGTAACAATAGCCTTGTAACAAGTCAGGATGCTGTGGAAAGGGCCCAGCAGATGAAGAAAGATCTGCTTGATAAACTAGAAAAATTAGCTGAAGACCTCCCTCCTAACACCCTGGATGAACTTATTGATGAACTTGGTGGCCCTGAGAACGTTGCTGAGGTAAGTATGCTTGATCAGGGCTGTATATTTTCTTGGGAATTTTTTTTTTTGCCACCTTTAAGCCTTGCAGAAAAAGTGGTATTTTGGGTATCATCTCATAATACTTGTAATTTCTTCTCTTAGATCCAAGAGCTCTTGTTCTACTCTAGTTGTCATCCTAGAGCCAGTGAATTCCTGCCTGTAGTCACTGAGTGTTTGCCCCAAGATACTGATTTCTGTCCCTACACCTGTCACACAGCCTTTGTGATCATTGCCACATGTCTGCTTTCTCCCTGGAGTTTGAACTTTTCAAAGCCAGGGGCAATATTCTCTCAGCTGCTTTGCCGGGTATGGCACCGGCTGCGGTGCACATCAGCTGCTTCACCTGCTTCCAGTTCCCAGGTTTCTGTAATACAGGGGTTCTGTGCCTCCTCTGCACCAGAGTCAAGTACCTTAGTTGTGACCGATACTGTTTGGCTTTACAGATGACTGGCCGCAAGGGGAGGGTTGTAAGCAACGATGATGGAAGCATATCTTATGAATCCAGATCTGAGCTCGATGTCCCTGTGGAGATACTAAATATTACGGAAAAACAAAGATTTATGGATGGAGACAAGGTATGTTTCTCTGGGATGCTTTTCAATAAAAAGAATAATGTCCATACATTGAGATTAATGTTTAGAGATTTTCTTTTAGTATAAATCATGTGTATTGCAAGTTCTGTATTTTTTAATACCTGCACATAACCACCAAATATTTTACACATTTTCATTATTTTCTTATAAGTTGAGTGTAAAAAGTGTTACTTGTATTGTGCACAGAATTGGATGTGAGTCTTAGTAGCTCTGCAGGCTTTTGAAATCTTTAATTGAAATATTAAAATACTGCGTTTTCTCAGGTCATCTCAATGGCACCATATCTAATGGTACTCTCTTGTGTCTGTCTAATTTTTAGTCTAGAAATACACTCTGGCCTGCCCAGATTACTAGTATCCTTTGATTTTGCTGTTTCTTTTATTGCTCTGCTTTATGTTAGGATGATGACTGTGAATGATGTGTAGATTGACTTGCACTGTAGAGACGGTGGTTGCCTGGAGAATCTTTTTGTAGAGGCTCATATATATATATATATTTATATTTATATTTATTAATGTATCATTGATATACACTCTTATAAAAGTTTCACAAGAAAAGCAATGTGGTTACTACATTCACCCTTACTGTTGAGCCCCCCCATACCTCATTATAGTCACTGTCCATCAATGTAGTAAGATGCCACAGAGTCCCTACTTGTCTTTTCTGTGCTACACTTTCTTCCCCATGACCCCATAAACACCATGTGCAGTAATCATGATATCCCACAAACCCCCTCCCCTTTGGTAACCTAGTCCCTTCTTGGAGTCTGTGAGTCTGCTACTATTTTGTTCCTTAAGTTTTGCTTCGTTGTTATAGTCCACAAATGAGGGAAATCATTTGGTATTTGTCTTTCTCTGGCTAGATTATTTCACTGAGCATAATACCCTCTAGCCATGTTGTTGCAAAAGGTAGGATTTGTTTTCTTCTTATGGCTGAACAGTATTCCATTGTGTATACGTACCACATCTTCTTTATCCATTCATCTACTGATGGTTCCTTGGTTGCTTCCACATCTTGGCTGTTGTAATTAGTGCTGTGATAAACATAGG